GGGGGGTCGAGATAAGGACGTGGGTGCTCTGGTGATGTTTCCTCCTTCTTTCTTACCTAACATCTTTTGTCCTCATCTCTCCTTCTTTTTGTGTTTGTTACTCTCATAACATTTCTAATCTTCGGTACTTAAATGGCCTTATTATGCTGCAAGTGCAGTAAAACTCTTACTAAAATAGAGATAATGGCTGCATTGTTTGTTGTGAAAGAAAGAACAGATCCAGGCTAGCCAAGTTTTTTCAAAATCCAACACTAAAATGTATAACATCAGATCATATAAAAACGAAAAACAAACATCCCCCACCCCCAACCCCCAATATGTCACATGCATATTATACGTCACTTCCTGTTCCTCGGCCTTCCTTCATCCCTGCAAGATGGCGTGACATCCGGGTCTGTCTCGCTGTAAGACAGACTGCAGTACGTTAATACAATACATTGCATGTAACTTTCCTGGTACAAGTCCAGGCCCCTGAGAGACGCCATCTTTTGTTTTTGACACGTATTAGGCTGGACAGCAGTTCCAGTCGACCTACTCGCTGTGTTATTGTTGATATATATTATTATATTATAAGTCTTACTTTTACACAATATATTCGGTTGGTAAAAAGCACAGCGAATCGCGAGATTTTTTCCTGCTTTGTAGTTATTGTTGTTGTTGTCTGAATTGTTGTTGTTGTTGTTGTTGTTGTTGTTGTTTATATTTAGTGTTATCTATTTTCTGTTTTCTTTCCTTTTTTAGGGGGGGGGTGTTGTTTGGTAGGGAGTGTTTTGTTTTTATAATTGTGTTTATTTATTCATTTATTTATTTACATGTATTTGTTTGTTTGTTGTTTGTTTTTGTTTTTATTTATTCATTCATTTTTTTTCTTTTCGCGGAGGGTCTTTGTGTTGTTTGTGCGGTATAATATTTTCATCCTACTCTTTTTGTTTGTTTTGTTGTTGTTGTTGTTGTTTGGTTTTTTAGATGGGGTGGGGTGTTATTGTTGTTGACTTTTTGTTGTTTATCTTTTTCATTGGGGCGGGGGGAGGGGAGTAAATGTCGGTGTTTTACACCTCAATCGTCACAATTTACATCTTTTAGAAGACAGGCTTTGACCCTGCCTGTCAGGGCCAACATGGGCGAAGAGGGATACATGTACAACGTTCCAGCGGATAGAAAAAAGGGGATACTCGATTAAAGTTCTCTCAACACTGAGAAGATTTTCTGTGTGTCACGGCCATACTACACTATAGATACCCTTCATCCTACTAAGCACGCCTAAAGCCGTCATGAGTCATATTATTAATATCGTTATTTCAAAAGTTCAAAGTGCCCCTCAGTCCTCAAAATAAATCATTCTCGTCTTCCGTTGATTCGTTTTAGTTGTTGTAAGAGTATTTTCACGACATTTGAAACACAATTAGGTCATACAAAAAGCCTAAGATCAGAGGTGTTACAAGAGAGTAACCATACACAAAATAGGAGGAGAGATAAAGACGATAGATGTTTGATAGGAGAAGAAAGAGCAAACCACACCAGGGCACCCGCCAACCACCTGGTGTCTCGCCTTGCCAGTGTAGCGACTTGCATCACAGAAAGTTGAGAAAGGTCACAGTTACAAGAATTACCATAAGAGCTTACCATAAGAGCCGATAATGGAAGGTGTTACTAGACAATAGCATTCAAAGAAAAGAGGGAGAGATAGCAACGACAGGTATTGGAATAGAAAGAAGACACACCAGAACCTCTGCCAACGATCAACAACTGGTTATTCAGACAATAACTTTACTAAGACGATTTTAAAAAATAGCCACTTAAATATAATAAGAGCAGTTGTTGTTTTTTTTGGGGGGGGGTTTAGCTCTAGACAAGCACATCGACTAGATCTAAGCAGAGACCATTTAATTTTAGCCCCGGCAATTTCTTATTTGAATTAAATAGATAAATAAATAAACAAATTAATTAATTATTAATTAATTAAAATTTAGACCCGGCAATTCTTAGATTGAGGAAATAACATAAATGAATGAAAAAAAAATTAATAAGTAAAAATAAACAATTTAATTTTAGCTCAGATAATTTTTAATAATAATTGTTAATTAATCAACTTATTGATTAATTTATTAATTTAAACTCCAACAGTTTTTAATTTGAGTAAAGAAAAGCACACACACACCATAACAGTTATTTGTCGAAAATAAAGAACAAACAATCTGTGAAGAAAAAAATAGGCAGACCTATCATTGGCACTCTCCAACCACCCGTCCGAGGAGACGGGGGGGAAATCTTAGTTTAGTTTGGTTTGAGTTTGAGTAAAGCGAAGCTCATCGACATAATTAAGGTGATTTAATACATGTATACCTGGGAAAACACAAGGAGGGCAACTTATTAATTTAGTTTTTGTAAGAGTTTTACGGCACTTCCAACACAATAAGGTCATATAAAAAATGTGCCGAAGATTAGACGTGTTGCAAGAGAGTAACAAACACAAAAAAGGAGAGATCAGTATGATGATAGATGTTTGATAGGAAAGGAGCAAAGCAAACAACACCAGAGCACCCGTTAATTTTAGACCTTTTATTACTTTTATTATTTTATTATCATTATTATTATTGTTTTTAGTGTAAATGAAGGCGTTTCAAGTTGCGTCCCTTTTACTAAACAAGCGGCCTACGACCCTCCTTGCCTTTTATAATTTTAGTAAGAGCTTTAGTAGTAGTAGTAGTAGTATAAGGTTTTACGGCGCTCGCAACTGTAAGAGCTTTGTTTAGTATAGGGTTTTACGGCGCTCGCAACTGCATAGGTCATATGAGCGCGCGGGACACACCTAATATTTTTCAGTTGGTAGGAAATTTGGAATTTTGCCCGGGTGGCGGCCGAAGCCTACTCTT